ATTCATTTGAGGCATCAGAATTTCCATAACAGTAATGTAGCCATATATTGATACCAATTAATTTCTTTTTTTTTTTAAATAAATAAATAAATAAATAAATTGATAATTGAATCGCGAAAGAAAGTATCACGATATTTCGTCACACCCCTAGTTTGTACACAACAGACTCACGCGTGAACAATACGTAACTTTTTAACATAGTCTCAGGATGTTCTGAGCCGATCCAAGCGCAGTCCAACTACTGTCACAAGTTTCAAATAAACTTATTTGGGGAAAAAGCCTTGAATAAAAAACACACAGAATCCCTACAAAACAATCGCCAGAATACTTTATCAGCAGCGTGAGTGAATGTTTTGTTTTCTTACCGTGATGCAGATGCATCGCTGTGGCTAACGCTAATGCTAACATGAGCTTTTAGCCATGTCCTGCTGCAGCTCTGTACATGTCCTGCTTATTTGATCATTGTAGTTTTAAGCTCCCACAGACGTTATTCCTCCATGCGTCTCTTCTCTTCACACCGCGTTTGTAAAACTATATAATATAATAGATCCATGGTAAAACTCAGTAGAGCGTCTGTGCAGGGTGCCGTGTCTGAACGTGGTCTTGGCTCCACGCGACTGTCAAGTGCCCGAGACGTTTGGAGAGATCCGGTCATTTATCAAACTAAAGTATTCTTTCCTTGGCAGTCTGGTGAATGACTGAGAGTTGAGGAGCACTGTCAATCAGAATAGGCAACAGTGCTCCTCAACTCAAAGGCACCCGTACTATATTGGACTGCAATATAACATCTCAACGCTAGATGGCACTAAAAAGTACACAGTGTACCTTTAATGACTATCATCCTGTGCCCTCACGTCTGTTCTTATGAAGACATTTGAGTGGCTCCTGTTGGACTTCATTAAGAGCCAAATCCCTTTGAGTATTGACCCACTCCAGTTTGCCTACAGACAGAATAGGAGCGTTGAGGATGTGATCTCCTTTTCTCTGACCTCTGTGTACAGTCACTTGGACAATAGTAAATCTGTCGCGAGAATGTTGTTAATTTATTACAACTCTGCTTTTAATTGCCTTGTCCCAGGTTAACTGATTGGAAAAACTCATGTCTCTCAGTATAAGTGTTGCCATGTGTAAGTGGATTTTTAGCTTTTTAACTGACAGATCTCAGAGAGTGAAAATCAATGACTGTTTTTCAGATGTCGTTTCTGAGAGCACCGGATCTCCTCAGGGATGTAATTTGAGTTCTTTGCTTCCTCTGACTCTAACTTGATAATTAAATATCAAGTGAAATATCACTGATGACACCACCATAATCTGAATCTGAACCATCTATCTGCTTGGACTGACTGTATAAATTGTAATGCATTGTCTTTTTTGTATTCTTATTTATCTTCTTAAAATAGGGAAAATTTGAGTCTGAAATGCGAATCAATAATAATACCAATAATAAATATGAAATACAATTTAAGTCTCAGAGATTTCCTTTAAAGCTACGTGTTTAGTTTTTACTCTCACCTAGCATTGAGATCATATATTGTAATCTAAGGTACTATGGTAGCTTCACAGGACAATATTTCATCTTTGAAAGTGGTCCCCAACTCCCGGTCAAACTCCTTTTTGTCCCTTATCAAACACTGCATTTCAAGATGGTGCATTGTCCTTCAGTTCTCATAAAAAAATTTGAGTCATATTCTAAGCCTATATCTGAGACTGTGCGTTAGAGTGTGCTATTCTAATAGACTGATCAGGGCGCCTCAAGGATGTTTGCTAAAACTGATTCAGAGGCAGATCGTCATTGTAATCCACAGGAGCGAGTGCAGCTTGAACTTGTCCCTTGTAAACTAGAGAAATGTGAGACATTTCACACTGCAGAGTTTTAAACTTGTGTTCAGATGACGATAATAATCAATAATGATAAGTTATAGAGTGTATTCTTGCTTCTTTACAATACTAAAATTGGATACTTTTTTCTTTATTATGCTAAAGTTGGAAATTGTATTTTTAGTAAAGAGTTTTTGTTCTCCCCCTGGACTGCCACATTAACGTGGTGGGTTTGCTGGCTGAAGTCACCAAGGATGTTGGCAGCCTCCTTGGTGGAAAGGCTACATGAGTGGATGAGATTCGCCCTGATTATCTAAAGTCTCTGGATGTTGTAGGACTGTCTGGCTGGGACGTCTCTGCCACATCGCAGTGGCAGACCGGGTTTGGTGGTCCCGCTCTACAAGAAGGGGGATTGGAGAGAGTGTTCCAATGATCGTGGGATCACACTCCTCAGCCTCCTCGGTAAGGTCTACTCCAAGGTACTGGAGAGGAGATTTCGATCGATGGTCAAATCTTGGATTCAGGAGGAGTAGTGTTGTTTTCGTCCCGGCTGCGGAACACTGGACCAGCTCTAAACTCCCCATCAGATACTCAAGGGTTCATGGGAGTTCGCCCAACCTGTCCAATGTGCTTTGTGGATTTGGAGAAGGCGTTCGACCATATTCCCCAGGGTGTCCTTTGGGGGGTTCACCAGGAGTACGGGATCCGGGGTCCTCTGCTGAGGGCTATCCGCTCCCTATATTACTGGAGCCAGAGCTGCGTTTGCATTGCAGGCAGTAAGACAGACCTTTCCCTGGTGCATGTTGGCCTACACCAAGGCAGGCCTTTGTCACTGTCTTTATGGAGATCATTTCGAGGTGCAGCCAGGAGCCGGAAGGGGTCCGGTTCGGAGACCACAGAATTTCTTCTCTGCTGTTTGCAGACAAAGTTGTCCTGTTGGCTCCAACGAACCAGGACCTGCAAGATGCACTGGGACGGTTTGCAGCCGAGTGTGAAGCGGCTGGGATGAGAATCAGCACCTCCAAATCTGAGGCCATGGTGCTCGACCAGAAAAAGGTGCCTTGCCCTTTCCAAGTGGGTGGACAGGCAGAGACGGTGCAGCGAGTGCAGTGATACGGTCACTGTATCAGACCGTTGTGGTAAAAAGGGAGCTGAGCCGAAAAGCAAAGCTCTCAATTTTACCAGTAAATCTTTGTTCCCTCCCGCACCTATAGTCATGAGCTTAGGGTAATGACCAAAAGAACGAGATCGCGGATACATGCGATTGAAATGAGCTTCCTCCGCAGAGTGGCTGGGCGCTCCCTTAGAGATCGGGTGAGGAGCTCAGTCACACAGGAGGAGCTTGGAGTAGAGCCGCTGCTTCTCCATGGTGGGAGGAACCAGTTGAGGTGGCTCGGGCATCTGTTCCGGATGCCTCCTGGACGCCTTCTTGGACTTTTCTTTGTGTTTTTGGAGATTTTTCTTTAGAGCAAATTATCACCCATAACATTTTGGGTTCATTCATTAGAACAGAATGAACATGTAACATGTAATGCTAGCAAACATTAAGTCACAAGCATTCATAGGGTATTCCTGATTAATTTAATTAAGCAACGACCGGTTTTAGGTTAATGGCTGAAAAGGGTCCGGCAGACGCACTTTGTCCAGGTCTGATGTAAGGTCACACTATCCTCCTGCCAGTGTTTCCAAAGTTAATTTTGTATGCAGATCAGATTCGCTTTTCACAGTGAAACAAACATTGTCACACTGTGGTGGCCCATTATGTACATTATTGTTCAGGAAGAGTGCTCTTAGCTGAGAAGTGAGCTTTGACATGTTTATTATGTAGCCATTAGTGTTCGCTAAGTTGACACTAATAGAAAATGTAGCACTCAAAACAGTCAGAAAATAAAGTATATACTAAAGTACATTTGAATAAAGCCAACTTTAATATTCAGATTTATGAGGAAGAACTAAACCAGGTGACAAGATCCTGCAGCTTGCCCTGAGAAAAGAGCACTATTTTCGGCTAATGAAAAGTCAATCTGAAGTAGAGGAAAAACCCATGGGGCACCTCAGAGGTGAGATTTTAATGAGAACGGGTCAGAAACATGCAAAGTATTGAATTAATTACTCACATTTGAATACAAGAATCTCAAGTGTCAATGTAATTAGAAAGACACTGAAATCTAATAACAAGAAAAACTGGAATAACTGGGTTTTTTTTGCTCATCATGTAAAAGTGCAAAAGTAAAGTCATGGTTTTGACTGAAACATTCCACTATTAACATTTAATTAGAACTGTGCTAACTACAGAAGATTTAGCTATGAACAGTGATATATTCTGTAATAATAATAATAAAACAAAAAATGTGAAAATGGCACATGAACTGTTTAAGCTCAAACAGATGTATTTAGCTTCACCTGGCCTGGTCCAACATTGTGTATCTCGTAGCAGATCCTGGGTCCATTAAGATGGAAGGCCAGGTAAGACTGAGCTGCAGCCCAAGGATGAGGCTAAAGTTGGCATTGTTTGGGAGTCAAAGATGGATCACAAACAATTAGGTCTGTAGCATTAATCCCACTGGTGCATGATTGAACTCATGCACCAATGTTGTTCTCAATTGTCATAACTTGAGTAATATAATTCTCTGTGTGGTTTTCAGACACCCTGGTTGTCATAGTTCTCTCACTCACTCTCTCACTAAAGTAATAACCTAAGTGTTGTCTTTAGTATGTTTAAACTCTTCACTAGTGATTTCAACTGTAGCCACAGCTGCCCTGGGGTAGATCCGTTCTCCATTAACACCCCATTGGAATGTGTCCTTTGCATTTGACCTTCTCTTAAATTCCCCAGGAACAATCTAGTTTTTTGTCTAATTATGTGAGCAATTGCAATCTGTCATAATTTGCAGCTAAAAACAAAACACTCAAGCAGCTGCCAATGAAGCAAAGAGGGGGAAGTCTATTTTTCCTCAAGTAAAGCCAAACTGTACATGTGTTTTTACATTCTTTTTTCTCTTCAAATGATCTTTATGTACAAAGCACTTAACCACACTTTGTCAAACATTATGTTATTTGTATGAAAGCCATTTTAACAAACATATTGCATTTATAAGTTTTACCCAGTGATTGGACCTGTTTAGGGTCACACACGCATTGAAATTTGGTTTTATTCTGTTGTGTGATATTAATGCATTTACCGTGAACTGGAACGAGTCCGCGGTGCTGCCTGCTCCATGGTGCCGGTACCAAACGGCTCCATCGTTGACGTCTTGCTGAGTGAAGGAGTAGGTGGAGGTGAAGCCGCTATCCTGGGACATGGGGGCGTCCAAGGGTGAGTCTGCAGGCATGGAGGCGAGCACCACATCACCTAGAAAAGCACACAAAACAGCCATTAGAAGGACCTAATAAAAAAAAATCATATGTAGCCATTTTGTTCAGGCCATTACGATAGATTTAGGTTTGCTGCTTGTCTCAAGAAAGTTGATAGTTTTGTCCCAGAACATACAGTATACATGTATTGAATAAGCATCTATTGAGATCACTTACCTCATTATTAATCAATATCAAGAAGTGGTCTGAGCTATGTCAGATTCTAACTGTGCAAACCAACTCAATCAGTGAATTAGTAGTGAAAGGTGTGACAGTGAGGTGAGGAAGAGGCTCAGACAATGTAAAGCCTGAGAAAGATGCTGTTACTTCTTAATCGTAATCCCATTTCGAACTTTTGGCAAAAGGATGCCATTTTTCTGTAAATGGTGGTTTGAATGGAAAAATAAATGATGACATAAGAGTACATATGTACTGTATTTGTTTATTATAACAATAAATCCACATAAAATGGCTTTGACATTATTAACATTCTGTCTTTCTGTAGTAGACACTATTTTTTCAGCATGACATATTGGGCATCTGCTAAAGCTTCCTCTTTCTTCTTCTTCTCTGTCTCATAAAGGCTGTGGATCCTCTTCATTATTGTGCCTCTACAAACTATTGTTTGTTACAGGGATGAGAATGGGACATTTGAAAAAAGTCTGAAATGCATGTCAGCCAATGGCTGTCATTAAATCTGTCTGATTTGCTCACAACATTTTACTTTTGGTCACAAACAACATAAACTGGTAGTGCAAGGGAAAAATTAGGTACCCCAGCTTTAATTTAGCAAGGAGACTGAGGCTCCGTAGTCTTCGGAGGTGTATTTATTGCATGCACAGCTTACGCACAGGTTATGCAAAGACAACAAGCACAACAAGCAGAGAATAGTCATGTGCGTGCAACGTTACGGCGGCGCCATTTGCCTTGTTGTTGTCAAAGCGACAGCCGCTGGAGGTGGGAACCTCTGTCCAGAGCGGCCGAGCTGCCCCGGGTCAGATGGCTGCGGACACGAAGGATGCAGACTTCCACCTGCTCTGTCACCATCTCACACACACACGTGTCCGCGGCATTTTGAGTGTTATTATGGGATGCATGGGCGGGTCATTCCATACATGCATCAATGTGTTAATTAGGCCCGAGCCCCGAACGGGGAAAGGGCCTATTGTTTTTGCTCGAGAGATGTCAAATTCTGCCCTTTGAGCCTTAATTTCACCCCCTGAACATGCATGAAAAGTTGTTTTGCCCAAACATCAGACCTGGTGAAAAATTTGATATTTTGGTGTTCATTTTTATGGGACTCAAAAAATGCTACAACAGCCAATGGGAGTTTCAGAGGTCAAGTTTGTCGTAGAGCCATGAAATTCGGTACACATGTTCCTCAAGTCAAGATACGACCAAAATGTTATCATGGCTCCGCCCTCTGACAAACAGGAAGCCCATAAATTTCACTGCAAAATGGATAAATGAACAGCAATCATTTTCATCCATGTCGGTTGGAAAGCGACTCCTCCTCGGCCGTTTTACAGATTCGCCTCAAAATCGCTCCACATCATCTCAACATTTTTCACAACATTAATTTTGCTCCCGTTTTCACAAACAAAGTCTGATTTGCACAAAACTTGAATCCAATGTTCAACTCCAGGGTTTAGGTGAGGTAAAAGTGAAATATTTGAAATTGGCCCATTAGCGCCCCCTACAGATTGAGGCAAAGTTTTACATGGGGTGCCAAACAGCTCTAATCATCATATTCATTACAATTTGACTAACGTTCTTCTATGGCAACAACAACAAATCATCACACAGCGGCCCCAGCTCATTTGCGCAGTGCTGCTTGGTGCGGCTTGGTGCGGAGTGGCGTGGTGCAGATCCGCTTGGTGCGGGGCGGCATGGTGTGGGGCGACTTGATGCATGGCGGCTTGGTACAGGGCGGCTTGGTACGGGGCAGCTTGGTGCGGGGCGGCTTGGTGCGGGGCGGCTTGATAAGGGGCGGCCTAATGCGGGACGGCTTGGTGCGGGGCGACTTGATGCATGGCGGCATGGTACAGGGCGGCTTGGTACGGGGCAGCTTGGTGCGGAGCGGCTTGGTGCGGGGCGGCTTGGTGCGGGGCGGCTTGGTGCGGGGCGGCTTGGTGCGGGGCGGCTTGATAAGGGGCGGCTTAATGCGGGACGGCTTGGTGCGGAGCGGCTTGGTACGGGGCAGCTTGGTGCGGGGCGGCTTGATAAGGGGCGGCTTAATGCGGGACGGCTTGGTGCGGGGCGGCTTGGTGCGGGGCGGCTTGGTGCGGGGCGGCTTGGTGCGGGGCGGCTTGGTGCTGGGCGGCTTGGTGGTGCACGCGGTGCGGCGAGGGCTGTTCGATTTAATTTTTTTATGTGATTAATGAAAAAAATATAATCAACGCGCGTTAACGCGATAATTTTGACAGACCTAATATTCCTGTCTGTCTGTAGATATATATTTATTATATACATATATAATATATATATATATATATATATATATATATATATATATATATATATATATATATATATATATATATATATATATATATATATACACAACCGTTCAAAAGTTTGGGGTCACATTGAAATGTCCTTATTTTTGAAGAAAAGCACTGTAGATAACTTTAAACTAGTCTTAACTGTAAAGAAATACACTCTATACATTGCTTATGTGGTAAATGACTATTCTAGCTGCAAATGTCTGGTTTTTGGTGCAATGTTGTAATTGCTGCAAATGGAGGATTCTTTGACAAAAGCAAAGTTGGATGTAAAACAAATCTTATTTCAAATACAAATCATTATTTCTAACCTTGTCAATGTCTTGACTCTATTTTCTATTAATTTCACAACGTATGGTGGTGAATAAGTGTGACTTTTCATCGAAAACACTTGGGTGACCCCAAACTTTTGAACGGTAGTGTATATATATTCCTATCTGGCTGATGCTACCATGTAATATCATAATAAGAACATGGAAAGACACAACCACATCATAAATTTTACAAACGACTTTAAGAATGCTTGTAACTGAAATCTACATCATTGGGGCATCACTTTGTTTTAGGCATTTTTACCGTCAAACTGCATTAAAAATAAAAACAAATGTTTTGTGTTATTAGTGCTCCTACATGTAAGAAATAAAAAATAAAAAACATTGACATTGCTTTTTTCAATGAGTTACCAAAGGGGTAAATCAGCTATACCCCATACCTGTGGACCTGTGGTGAGCATATAGTTACCATATGTGGGTCGTCCCTGCGCAGACAGCACAGTGTAGACCGTGTCCTCAGAGCGGACCCCTTTAAAGTCAGTCTGGAGGTGTTTCTTATCCAGTCGCACCATCCCACCCTGTTTCACCCAGGCCAGAGGAACTGACTGCAGCTGAGGGGCGTCTGCAGCCTACAGATACACAAGACAATTCTATTTATTCATGCCTCTGAACAACAATCATTTCATTGGAAAACAGAAGGATCATATCATTAATAAAAGTTCACAATGTCTTCACAAAAATGTTTTTCCCGTACCTGTGTTTTTTTGGTGAAATACAAAGAGCAAGGGGTACATGGTGTAATGCAGAATCCAGGGGTGCCAACCCCACTGTCTGTACTACACCTTATCTTTACATGCGTAATAAAAAAAAAATTCACGTTTGAAATAGCCCAAACAACAAACCACCTCCATGCAGCCATTTTGAATCCCGTCAATTTTGAAACCACTACAAGAGTTTCTTATCCCTACAGTGTTGTGTATAAATGGCTTCAAATTAGCGCCCAGATCCCTCCCACCCCACTGTGCGTGTTCAAATCAAACCTCATTATCTCTGTGCAAGCTTTTCCGCAGCAGATGGCACTCACTTTGAAAAACTGACGCACAATTGTAAACTTTTCCAGATTAGAGCTAGCATTAGTGAGTGGGTGGCACAGGTGTGTTCTCAGATAGCAACCATCTGTGTCCTGCTGAGCGATACGATCTGAGCCCCGTCCTTCCGGCTGCCACTATAGAGGATGGAACACATCCGCTGATGGTATCTCATTCTATAGGCTTCAAGTGAGGAGTAATTGTGCAAACAAGCAGGCCTTTTGTCATCACGTATACTGTGGTAATGAATAAGCCTTTCAGGCTAATTGGTTGTACAAGACAGGGTAATGAGTTGCGTTAAATAAAGAACTATGGGTTTGGGCTTTGTAGTAAAGCTGACAGTTTAAGCTATAGTGAACAATTACAACCAGTTCTGAAAAGTTTTATACAAGTAATAAATATAGACACAACCTCAGGTGAAACTCGGAAAATTAAATTATCGTTCAACTGTGCTTGTGTTTGGTACTCTTATCTGTGTTGGCAAAGGGACAACTTCATACAAAAATAAATTGGACTGAATCTCACTTGGTCTGGTATGAATTAGTTTCACCTGTGTATAAATATATTATATATATATGGGTCACATAATAGACAAAATATTGTATGCAATATATGTGACGAAGTAAATGTTATTTAATTTGATTCTACTTCCTTTTTGGACATTTTGAGATCAATGGCTCAGTGGTTTACAATCGGTATATCATGCATTCACTCTTCTACTCGTACGACAGCTGTCTTGGGCTTGATTGACGGAAATTTGGCTAAATCTGAATTCACCACCAGTCCACAAGCACCAAACCATTTTCGGTGGGCAAAGAATTGGAAAAAGAGCAGTAAAAGTGAGTTGCCCAAAGAGTCGTTAAACATTGTCATAAGGAATTTTAAAATTAAAGGTTCCATATTGAGCTCTTCTTCATAATAATTTGAGAGATACACCATACAACACTCAAAACTTGTGAGATTATAGCCATATCTTGCATATGGGTGATGTCATCTCAACTCAAACAAGCTGATCCAGAGAGGAGTCTGCCTCCCCCCGCCTGCTCCGTGGCGAAGCCTCACGCGGTGAGTAATTTATCTCCGGTACATAGTCATTTCAGACCTGAGTCCTATGTCCTCGATCCAGAATCAGACCCTAATTATTTAGTTTACAGAAGTATACCGCGAGTTAGTAGCACTGTACTTAAAGATTGAGGCTTTTATCGTGGGAATAACACTGGTTTCCAGATCAGCTTTTGAGTAAGTGCAGTTCCATGATAACTGTAGTTCTGGAACAGGCTTAGTGAAGTGGCGCAGATGAACAGATTCGTTCGAACAGAAACAGATCCCCGAGAAAGAAGTCAAGCCGCAAACAGTACAGCTGCATGTGGTGGACGTGGGACTGTACCATGGATCTAAAATAATAACTGGATAGGGTTTTACTAGCTTATAACTGTCCCACCCATGAGCACAGGGGGCGCCCGTGGTACTGCAGAGCGCGGCCGAGCCCCTCTTTGCACGTGCATGAGAGCCACACACGTGTATTTGGCGCAAAGCATCATGGGAGCTCGTCCACTGTGCAGAACCGGGAGGACAAGACAATGCCCAAATATAGGCGAGTTCTACTAATCTTTTGATCCCCATGAAGTCCCATGCACTACTGAGCACAAGCCATTCATTTGAAAAGGGCGCCATGTTGGATCGCTTGGACCATAAATCACCTAGTCAATCACCTCCTAGATTTTTTTTTATTTTTTATTAGTATTATTAATTTTGACAACAAACAGCAAATGTATTGTGTATAATTTTCCCTAGTTTGACAACAGTATACAAGAGCCATTTTAAATTAAAAGAAAACGGGCTTCTGCGTGTCATATTCGTCATCAATGTTATAATCATCATAGATGTGGACCCAGGTGATTCGCTGCCTCTTGGGAGTGAAAGAGAAAAATCGCTCTCTAACTAAAGCTTGAAGGAATCAATGAAAAAACTACTCTGGGCATGTCTATGAAGGCCAACTAGCACTGTAATTATGTTTAAAGTAAGTAACATTAACAATAATTTCTGTTTGTTAATGTCTGCTGCAATCATCAAACATACTGGTTCAATCCCAATGTCCTTAGTGTGTACACTGCACTATATGTTTGCTGTCCCGTTAAGTTTGGTCGATTAATCTTCAAAATATCAAACATTAGCTGTCCAAATGATGTATTAGTATAGATATAGTTCTGTGCATTCTGACATCTCTTTATAACACTGTCATTATCTCCTGGGTGCATTTGGAGGCATCACACAGCCATCGTATCATAGTCAACAAAAGTATCCCTTCTTCCTCCCTGTCTTCTATGCAAGTCTACGTAATGGAGACACATCCCTCCACTGAGGCTCATGGTTAATGGATGAACCTCTCCCATACTTTGCTTTAGCTTCCGTGGATCACAGCCAAAACTGTCAAAAAACTCACTATCTCTCCGCTTTTATGAGCTGTGCACTTTTTACTACTCAGTCCCATTTTGGGGCGTATATATTTGCAGGATGGCAGGGCTTGTCCAAATCAAAATGCTAAAGTGGACTCAAACTGCAGTGAAATGGAGCAAATGGTAATGTAAATGCAAAAGTGCCAAGTTTAACCCCATCCTTTCCCTTGGAAAAAAGGTTTATTTAATATTCTTCCGTTATGTTGCCCCGTTATAAAAAAATTATCAGTAGAACGTTTTGATATTACATTCAAATCAATGGAGCGTTCTGCTGTGAGGAGCAGCATAATAAATTGTGATTAAATATTTGAATATATTCAAATATATATTTGAATATTTAAATTAATAAACAAACATACTTCGAATATGATTTTTGTGCAAAAGTCAAAGCCCTAATTTACACTGAAACCAGAGTGGTCTGAGCCTGCATTTGTACACTGAGACCATATGTACACTGAGACCAGAGTGGTCTGAGCCTGCATTTGTACACTGAGACCATATGTACACTGAGACCAGAGTGGTCTGCTCTGCGTTCACCCATTTTGCAACTTCTCTTCATGTCTCGGAATTTGCATGCCAAAGCAGATTGATTGAAAACTCTATGATTCATGAATACAGCTTATGATTTCCACCCATCATAGATTGAACCATTGTTTTTGTGTCTAAATATATATTGATTAATTCAATTATTTGCTTTATTTGGGTGACATATGAGATCTGGGCATAAAAAATACATAAAATAAACAGCCAAGCTAAAATATATATAATATATATAATAATATAAAATATTACATACAGTCACATGGCATTATTTATTAACTTATTCATTAACTAATTATTAGTCTACCTGATGCATTATTCTCAAATTTTTATGAGAACCTGAATATCGTTTGATCCTGCTAGTGTATAGCGTTCTCTTTGGAACAAGAGTGGTCCAAAATAATATTTTAAAATAAGACAAGCTAGAACACCATCAAAAATAAAATATTCAATAGTTCTCTCTGTAAACTGAGAAAAGTTATTGTGGTTCGAATGGAAGAGCTGTGAATCACGTTGCACCTTCAAGCTGCCCTCAGTGGGAGAGTTTCTGTATATGTCAAGTGCTCTGAGTAAAAAGCAGAAATACAGCCGGTGTTGGGAGGTTTGTTGTTCGGTTCTCAACAGAGTAGACCCTGAACCTTCTCCGAATCAATATTAAGCTGTATGGAAATACTAGAGGAGCAGTCAGAGCAGGAGTGTTGGATAATATAGGTTTGAAATCTGCTTTTTGCTGGAAAAGTGTGCTTCAGTCCTGGGGTAGTCAAAGTCATTTCTTTAGTAATGGGGTAGATAAAGTCTTGCTTTAGTCCTGGGTGAGTCCAGGTTTAGTCCTTGTCCTTCAAGTTACAGCTGAGTTTTTTAGTTATACAAGCTTTTATCTCTTCTTGTTTCTACAAAATAACTTTTATGGGCCAAACTTTTCAGCTGAGACATAATTGCTTGACCTTCTATTTTGTTCCTGAGAATTTGAATTGCTGTGCAAGTTTCCAAAAGCTAAACACTAACAGCAAACAAGTCTTTTATTGCTTGTGTTTGTAATACAAGATAATACAAGATATCACTATTTTGTGTGGATATTTGCCTTCATGATCTCAGCTTTGTCTTCATCAAACAGAAATGATTACAAAAGTATGAGGGGTTTGACAAACAAAGGTCAAGTTTCACCAGAAATAACTGGTCGACTAATGAGCACATTATTCATCTCAAACACCTCAAACTAGTCGGTCACGTTTCTTCATTCAACTGATCAAAAACGCCAATATCTACATGTTTTACTGTTTGATTGTGATTACAAAGAAGCTAATACAGAGCTACAATTCAACAAAAACAATCTTCTAGAAGTTGCGGGCAGAAAAGTCCACCACAACATACCTCTATCAGTTATCAATTACAGTGCCACAGGTACCTTATGTTGAATGTCCATCTGCAGCAGCACATTCTTGTAGTTGTGTCCATCATTGATTTGCAGAACCGCTTTGTCGTGCGCAGAGTCTGATCCGTCGTGCACGTACTGGACCTGCTGCCGCCAGAGCTCGTCCAGTTTGAAACGGTTTAAGGCACGGTCGCTATGAAGACGGGTAAGGCGGCCATATTGCGGCGGCTCCAGGACCATCACCAGCACGTCGGCCATGTTGTCGGGGTCTTCAATCTGGAGGACGGACTTTGAGAGAGGCACCGCGGCTCCAGGATTTTCCACCACCAGAGGAGACAGAGCCAGGACCACCGGCGGCTGGGGACAAGCAGAGAGTTAATGGGAGTTTCTATATTGTTGGCTGCTTTTGAAGCCAAAGTAGAAGAAAAGGTAAGATAAGAGAATCTTTTTTTCATCCTGTAGTGGGGAAATTTCAATGTTGCATACAATATACTGTAAGTATAGCTGCTATGTTTCTTTGCTTGCTGTAAATGCTTCATCATCAATTTACCGATATGTCTCGATCTATCTATATATAGTGCAAAGTTATATACTGTACATACATCCTTTTATGATTGTCTAAGACAAATCTTAGTCATTAATAGTAGGAAGGTTTTACGTTTTGGATTTCTTCAGTGTAGACATTTTATTAAACAAAACAAACCAGTTTGAGACAATTATTACACTCTAAAATTGCTGATCTTGTTTTAAACAAAATCTTTTTCATTCATCTTCACTGTTAAAAAAAAAAAGTTGGCTCTCTGAAAAGGTTCCTGACCTCTGCCAAAGAGATTTTATTAAAACTTTACAATAGGAAGATACACACGTTGTCTTGTTACATCACCCGCACTGTATAAGCCTCAGTTCACCACACTTAAGGAGCACCATTAAAGTGTAGCAAAATGACTTTCATCCCAGCAGATGTTGTAAAAGCAGCTCTTGATGTTATAAATAAGCGACTTGCTGCGTAACAGAGCATTTTATTGTGTGAGAAACAGAAGCTACAATGCTATTGTGTGGAAAAATCTAAACAAAATGTATCGTGGATCCCGGTAGGAACATTCATGCTGAAATGCCTTTGCAATATTTATAGACCCTATAAACTGGATTTATGTATCATTGTTATTTTGTGTGGTTCTGCCATTTACCAAAACACCTATAACATTTCACACTCAAAGATTCACAAGCACACATTTATCTTGTACATTTGCAATTCATGAGAAATACTGTTACTGAATAGATGTGGCAAAAGTCATCTTGGACAATGACCTGTTAAATCCGCTCTGTCACTTTTGACCTTGTGCATTCATTTTATATGCAAATATCAGTCTCGCCCCGGAGTCACTGATCTTCGGCTGGTCAGATTATTAGTGGAATATATTACAGATCCCTGTTTCCTTTCTCATTTATTGAGGTTGTGACATTACCTTGTCCAATTTCAATTCAAATTCTGGCTGTGACTTTGAAAACATGTATTTTCCCGCAGCGATGTATAACTTTAACATCATAAATCTACCCAGTGACTTTTCTTCCTTACAGGGAACATAATATGCAAAATGTACTGTTAAAATCTTTTGTCCATGTTACGCCTCCTAATTTACCCACAGACGTTGTTTTTTGTTTGAGTAACTTATAGCACCTGCATTCAAATCAACATTGCTTTCGGGAATCCTTTATTTTCACTCTGACTGTTCATCACTTTACTTTGAAGGAATGCAATTATTTACCGGTCTGGCTTTTGCATTTTTGGAACAAATAAAACATAGACAAAGATATTGTTCAACTTGTTTGTACTGTGAGTTGAAGTCCCAATTTTGTAGCACAAAAGCAAACATTCCACACTACAACAGGTCTAAACATATGTGCTAAATGTCCACACAATGTGTCTATGTTGCATTGGAAGGTATACTAAATAAATTATCATTATATGAATCATTTATTATAACTTGATTTTGGTTTGTATAGAAGTACTGGACATGTGTCTCTCTTTATCATTTTTTCATCACATAAAACACAAATAATTGATAACAAAGAACATGTGTGTGCCTTCATTTTACCCCCAAGTGACGCAGGCAATGTCATGATGGCAAAAAGAGGCTCTTATTCAACACTTTCTATTGCTTTTCTGCCATGAGAAGCTATTATATGCACCTTTTACACATAACAATTAAAACTACAGCCTGTTCATAGGGGCGTGTGGCATAATTATGCTCATATTTCAGTGCTGGAGTAGAATGTCATATTTTCAACACTATTCTTGGTAACACTTTGGATTAGCACTTACTAATTAACTAATTAACAGCTAATTAGTGTACTCTAACCCTAACCCCACCACTAACCCACATGGGAAAGTGTCAGTTAGATGTTGTATAAGGCCATGTGGATTAAGGACTAACAGGTGGTTAATAAAGTCGAATAAAGAGAAAATTAACCATAAATTATACACTAAGTAGCGCTTAAGTAGCTGTTATCTAGCAAGTGTGACCCTGTTCTTGAATATAAATCCACTTACACGACAAATACGCATTGAAGACACTTGGCGTAAATAGGTTGTGTTCATGTGACATCACAACATTCCAAAGAGCGTATTGTTAAAAAACTGTTGTGGAGCCTAGGGCAGCAGGGAAATCCTGTTTCCTGGGAACTATGATCTTATAATGTCTGAAAGAACAGTACATCAATACTTGAGTGACAGGCAATTTTCAATAAAACCCTTATGCTTGTCATATATTTCAGATCTACTTGTGCCTTATGAACCTGTACAGATCCTAGGACCTCAAGCTTCTTGCTGTTCCCTGCGTGAAGTTGAACATGGAGAAGCGCCTTTCTCCCATTATGCTCCTTGTAAATTGAACACTCTGCCCAATGATGTTAACTGTGCATTGACCCTGAGCTCCTTTAAGAGTAAACTAACCACCCACTTGTTCAGACTCTTTTACCCTGAGGCAGTACTGTTACCCCTACCCTGCCCGTTAGTGATGTATCAAGTAAGTAAGCAAGAAAATAAGCAATCTTTATTTATATAACGCATTTTAGAGACCAAGGCCACCCAAAGCGCTTTACAATTGTTGAGAGTTCAGATATTTATATTAACTGTTTACCAAGTTAAGCAGTTCTTTGTGAAGCGCATTAATTTGCAGTCTCCTGAATGCTAGGTAACTAAAAAGTCTTCTTTATTTATTTGTTTGCTTTGTTAATGTTATATATTCAAAACTAATCCAAACATATATTTTCACTATACAGCAGACCGCAGCACGGTAAATCTTCTCAACGGCAGCAGTTTCAGAGTGACTTTTTATATATTCTGAACCTGAGTAGTGTGAGATAGGGCCATTTTGGGTCATTGTTGCGGACATTTTTCTTCTCCCACCTCCCGCTCTAACTCTTCAATGTCAGCGCATCCATTTTCTCACAGCCGCGTGGGATCGACTGACAATGAAAGAATAACAGACAAGACGGAGCACTCGCGGCTGTGGGCCAAAGAAGTGTCGTCCGAATCGTTCCAAGTGTTGGTGGCTTCTGTGCCTTTGGACAGACATTCGTTTGAGGAGATGGTCGAAGAAAGCACAGAGCAGTTCATCATTGAGAGAAAGAGCATGAAGCATAGTCCAAATGGTCTGGCCTGGATTCAGGGGAGACGCGAGGGGAGGAGAGGACTTGCACAACCGCTATGAAACAATACAATAGAATAGAAGTACAGCATATCAATCAAAAAAAAGTTCAAGCGCAATTTGCAATACTTTTAACGATCTCGAAGGAAGTCATTATATGCTTTCAATCTCTTAATGACCTGCACTAACTCTAAACTCGCACTGCTATAGTCACTTTTAATTTAATTTAATTGTACATAACATAACTTTTTTAACATTTTTGCACATTTCCTATCTTTTGCACGCCCTGAGTGATCCTATTTATGCCAAATGTGATGTTTTCATGCAACATTTCTCCATTGTTAGATCAATAAAGTTTCTTATCAAATCAAGCAACTAAGGCTACAACATTGACAATTAAGGGCTTTTAAATAGTTTTTTTTAAATCTTCTTCAAAGTTATCATGTTAGAGTTATTTTTACAATCCTGCATGAAAGGAAGCATTATTGCAACAATCCTGTGTTCACAAAACACGGCCACCATCAAAAACATGCGGCAAATGTTTTGGGATGAATTACATACTTTTACAGATGTATAAAACACATACACACACTAAAAAGTACTGTATTTCTCCATTGTGAGATTAAAAAGGTACTGTATATCTATCTATACGCATATCTAAAAAAAAAAAAAAAATTCAGAACTGAGTAACTTGCATAAAAAAATCATGCTTGATATGAGTGAGATGTAAAAAAGGTGCATCATAACTTTTCAATCCAATCCAATATAGTTAGGGCTGGGCGATATAAACTGTATAAGCGGTATGCGATAACATTTTGGCCAACGATAGAGATTTGTTTCATAACATTTCACGGGGCCCAACGGAGTCCCTCCTCCAAGCTAGGTGCTCTGTCTGGCCCTGGTGGGACTTGAGGTTAACCTGGCGTCGATTGGCTAGCTAGCGCAGACTCTGACGCCAGGAGAAAGCACCAAAACAACCGGCATTAGCCTGCAGCATTAGCCAGCAGCATTAGCCCAGCCAGCCTGGGCTACAGCATCATCACGGCAAAAGTTTGGTAAAGTTAGCGTCAGATTCGGACTTCCGCGGTCAATAGCAAGAAAGCTACTTTGTTAAACAAAAGTAACTGTGCCATAATGATCACATTTACATCAATTGTTCAAATCCAATGCGCTGTTTTAATGCAGAGAAATCCATTGCTGAAAGCGCCGAGAAAAGTGCTTAGGGAGCGTCATCAAGTGTCAAGACCAGCTTTGTAAACGAACAATAGCTTTTACTGAAGCCATGGCCACGCACTAATCTCTCAGTGCGTATAAATCACACTATAAATAATGACCATATCTAACGGCTACAGACTTTGATTTCAACATTTGTGAGTTTTTTTTTTTTACATTTTAAATTAATACACATGTTTTTCTTTTAAAATATCTTTTACAGTAAATGGTCTTTATTGTAACATACATAAATAATGTATGTTACAGCATTTGTCTCAAGAGTTCCACCTGTTTATTTAATTTCATTTTTGACTAAGGATTTGTTTGTTTTTGATATGTAGTCCATAAATTAAGTTCTAAAAACTGATAATGAAATTCCATGATTCCTGTGTACATTGAAATGGTGTCCCTTATTGTTCTGTTCTCAAGTTGGCAACCCTACCCACTAACCACAGGGTCTTCAGTTCAATCTTCATGTGAAAAGCAAGGTGTCTCTTTAATATGGAATAATATTATATGCTAAAAATGTATTAAATACTGGATGAAATACTGGTGATTTTGTTTGTGGAGACTGGACACACCTGATTTTTAAACTCAAAAAGTATATATACATATTAGGGCACGGTCACATAGGTTTTTACAAACGAACTAGGCCAAGTGGCCCGGATCGTCGCCACAGATCGTCGCCACAGATGTGAAAACGGTCCGTGGTCACATGAACGTGTCCTCTGAACCGTGCCGGAGCAACTTTGCTGTAGTACGACGCCCGGTCCAGCTGGTGGCGCTAATAATAACTTCAACAACTACCTTGTTGTCCAAGTTGAGTTTCTGCTTCTTTTCCTGTTTACATTCTGCTACTGCAGCTAACAGGCTCGAGCATGAAACGCATTGTTTGCATCAGAGCAATGTGAACAAGTGTGAGATGTCTTTCCCCAAAATTCAGCGGTGGGACACGTGTGTGTTGTCTGTGAGTGCGGGCGCGCCGCAGACACGGGAGCACGCCTTTATAGTAACGAGCGTAAAGAGCTGAGAAATGAATGAATGAGAATGAAAGACAGAAAAGTGTGGAGTACAAGATATAAGTGTGTGTGTGTGTGTTCTGGCGATTAAAGACGGATTCTTGAATGTCTGAAGTGTTATTGCAATAGCACCACACTGTGAAACACTTTTCTTTGGCCCTGGAGCAACACCCCCCCCCCCCCCTGTGCCCCTCCACCACGGTCCGGGGGCTTATATGAAAGATTTAACACAAGCGGAGAATACAAAAGTGCAGGAGAGATGTGTGTGAAAATGCGTGTCACAGGAAGACGTAATGTGACGCACAATATCAAGTCCCCACCACACCTCATTCCCCGCTCCCCACCACCCGCCACAGTGACCCCCTCATTCGCGCTAGAAAGCGGGCCCTGGCCCAAGTTTTCAAACGTGCTGGGGCCCACTTGAAGAAAGCGTGCCCAAGCCCAGTTGCCGTGGTCACATGGCACCTAAAGCCCGGATCAAATCACGAAGCGGGCCCTGGCCCACTTAAACCGGGCTTTAGGCTGCGCATTTGAACTTAGATTCGCCTTACTGCTAATTTACACATCACGCGTTACAGCACGTACGCGTTATACGCGCAGCAGACGCGCGTAACTTTTTTCCATGTTAACCTATGATAATATTTACACTTCTAGCGTTATACGCGCGTATGACGGACGTATGACGCGAAGCTGCGCTCTAATTTAGGATGGATTTCTAATTTTGTGCGCGCACCAACGCGTCTCCCATTGAAATCTCATGTAAAACATGATTTTTCTAGCGGTCCTTGGCTCTAGATCGCATCTGCACACACACAGCACTTGTGTCTAAACATCAGCAGGAGGAGCAGCAGGTTTTACAGTGATTCTGGACATCGTTTTTTTTCTTTCATAAAGTCTCACGTCTGGCCAAACCAGCGCACAGAGACCATGAGGACAAACACATGCATGTGATTTGTGTTGCTCTACATCAGTCCTCTGGCCCGTACTGTCCTCTACACTGCTCCATAGACTACACAGGGAGAACATCAGAAGACGCGGACCTGCGCGCACGGCCAGTGTAGATACACCAAAAAAATGTTACGCGCAGAGAGCGCGCAGTAAACGCGTACGCGCTGTTTACGCCTACTGTGTAAATTCCCCGTTAGATAACAATGTTGACTATTTTATGCAAGAACCTGCTAGACCCATTGAAATTCACACACCAAATTATACCGCATTATATACCGTCTACCGTCTGTGTCCCACATTATACCGCAATATGAATTTTAGGCCATATCGCCCAGCCCTAAATATAGTATAGTATTACTTCATTTTGTATGTTTTGTAAAAGTGTACTACCAGGAAGCTGCATCAGCTTTTTGGAGTGGGAACTGCCAGGATCTTGATATGGAGAGGTTATTTACTATGATAGGGGGAGGCTTTATTTACACACAGATGAATACAATCCGTTAATCTGCTATCCACATTTATTATGATGATATCATTTGTGTGGATTATCGCTGTGTTGTACTGTATGTCTCAGTACTAATTCAAAACAATAACAACATTAGATTTGAAACTGATTGATTTCCAACTGTCAGCTTTACTTGAGCCGAAATGGCTGAGCCACTAAACCTGTGTTTCACAGAAAGAACAGTGTTCTTTTATTGTGGCTGTAAACATAAGGATTGTCAGAGCAATTGTTATCTGAGTGCAGGAGAAAGATGGGAGAAAGGATTACTCACACATGCATGTTTTGTGATATGTGTAATTCTGTACCTCCTTCCAATGTGTGGTGTTGCCTTAGCTATCATCTGCACTGGTAGTCATTACACAGAGATGCTGCAGAGTGGAGGGATATAGTCCACCATAATTTATTGGGGCTTGGGAGTTTGTTAGGTATGGCTCAAAAGCTCAGCCAAAAAACATACTGCAAAAAACAATAAAATATAATGTAATAATTGCTTGAATCAAGTGTTTTTTTATCTGAATATAAATAAATGTTAAAAAATAAATAAAATAAATAAATGATATAAATAAATGGGACAAAGCTATTTTGTCTTCTTTCAAGAACTGTGGGTTTTTTTTCTCATTCAAAGGGAGAAATTTCTTGCATCTTTTAAAACATCTTGTTTTAAAAGTGATTGTGCTTGTCCCATTGGCATATCTTGTTTAGAGGCACTCAAAATGTGTTCAAATTAACTAATTGAGTGCCAGCCTTGTTTCAACAGCTTGGGTTTAGAATGACAGCCATTATGTCAATGTTATTATTCTGCTCAGACGAGCCCGGGGTGATCTTTCAGCTTGAGCTCCTGCCTTCTGAGCGCCTCCCTCCTGAACACCTTCCAACAGAGAAATTCCCTCATGAGCACCTTCCTCCTGTGCACGAGTCCCTAAAGTTTACTCACTTCTTCGATGTAAAAAGCGCTCATAATTTTTTGATACTTTTTCCTCATCTCCGTCAGCAGCCCGAAGGGATGACGTGGGCAGTCCCTCCCGTGGGCCCACCACCTGCAGAGGGGTCAGTGGTGGCGCGGTGCTGAGAGGACTGGGCGGCAGTCGAAGGCGGCAGTCGAAGGCGGAGACCTCGGCGACCCAGTCCACACACACAACATCTGGCTCTTGGGACGTGGAACGTCACCTCACTGGGGGGGAAGGAGCCCGAGCTCGTGGGGGAGGTTGAGCGATACCGACTAGAGGTAGTCGGCCTCACCTCCACACACAGCTTAGGCTCTGGAACCCAACTCCTTGAGAGGGGTTGGACGCTCCACTTTTCTGGTGTTTCCCGCGGGGAGAGGCGGCGAGCTGGGGTGGCCATTCTCATTGCCCCCCATCTCAGCCGCCACGTGTTGG